ATATATGGGTGTGTGAGTTACAGTTGAAGTTTGTCAATTATAGTTCAGAGCGTAATCTCTGTCATGAGTCATAATTACCTCAAGTGCTTAGCGCGTCTTTCTGTCTCTCTCAAAGTGCTGATCAGGCGTTGGACCGCTTCGCCATGAGGAAGTACTACGATGATAAGGTCTCAGCTCTGATGACACCTTCGCAGAAACGGTGAGACCCAAAACACAAGCGCTCTCTTCCAGTCAGACACGTACGTTGTACCGACACCCACGTTCAAAAGAAAACATTCATCGTCTCTGTGCTTGCGTGTGTGTTTTCTTTTTCTTTTTTTTTTTTGTTGTCATTGAAAGGCAGCCATTGTTTGTAGTTGAAATGAGAACGAGGATCTCATGGTGACTTGGTGTAATTCTAACCCGGTGTGATTCATCACAATAATGGGCAGAAGTGGTTACTTCAAGCAGTCTTGCCTTTCTGTTTGTACAAACCTTCAGTGATGACGATAATTACTGATGTGTAAAGTCTGGGAAAAGTTTCTTCTCACTCTGCAGCGAAATAACAAAGAATGGAAAACTGTTGCTACATCAAAACAAACAATACTGTGATGCTACTAATACAAGGAGCGAAACATGATAAGTCACTTCATTTATTCCAGGGGTCTGCAACCTTTGTGATAAAAAGAGCCATTTTTTGCCACTTTGCTTACTAATTATGATGTCTGGAGCTGCAAAAACTGCTACAACTATCAACTGGTGGCTCATGGGCCACTACAAGTTAGTTGGAGACGGCTTTTCCAGCCAGTGGGGGTGATATAAAACAAAACATGGTGAACTATTATTAACATGAATAGATATTTTTATATTTTAATACAAAAGAAAAGACCAGATTCATGCAAAGAAAGAGAATATATATAATTTTTTAACAATTTTATAAAAAATTTAAACACTGAACTCTGCGGGCCGATGTGAGTTCTTTTAATTGTTGAAGAATTAAGTATCTTACTTAAAATTAGGCCAGTTTGTTGGATATCCAATTACATTTTAAAAGAAAAATAAATGTTTTTGTTTACTTACCGTAATTTTCGCTGTTTAAGTCACAGTTTTTTGCATAAATTAGCATGCCTGCGACTTATACAGTGAAGCAACGTATTTATGTTTTTCCCCCCATATTTATAAAACAATTTTTGGCTGAGATCTGACGATTTCATTCATTCTGACATGAAAAATATTGAACGGTACCAGTTTCACCCACTAGAGGGTGTTTTACTAAAATGGCATACCGTGTCTCATTAAATAGGTAAAAGTGGCTATTAATGAGACACTTGGCATGCCATACCAAGCCACCTTCATCTTGCTCCGGAACATCTGGAGCAAACGTCAAATCAGCTGCACTTCACCTGGGCGACGCTGCGAAATGCAGCTGATTTGACCGGCCAAGTGCATTTATTAAGGAAAAGTTCAACTGAGACACACCTTTACTGTAATTTTGAGCAAACAAATAATTATTTTTAAGTGTAAATCTTGTTAAATTCTTGTTAAAGTCCTCCCTTGCACGCTCCTGCGGCCACCATTTGGCAGCCAATCGATTTTTGGCACAACACCGGCCCACATTTCCGGGTGGTCAGCGGTGACACGTAACAAACGCGATGTGTCAGCGGAGACGCATAATAGATGCTACTTATACAACGAAGCAACATATTTATGTTTTTTTCCCACTTTATTAGACATATTTGGACTGATGCGACTTACAATATATGGTGGTGTGACGTGTACGACAGCAAGTACGGTAATTTTTTGTGTTTTATTCTTAGTGTTATCAAAGTTACTCACCATAATCCTCCTCAGCAGCTTGTCTTAAAGACATTCCAAAATGTTTTGGTGATTTTGAGAGAAAGATCACGCTGTGAGACTGAAGTTGACTTTAAGTGGCTAACAAAGTACTAGCATGATGTAGTCCACATGTTTTACGCCGTATATTTATACTATCCTTCACATATTTGAAAATGACAGGAATTCTGCTAAAACTAGCCATTTTTATTGTTGGAAATAATTTAAATAAAATTCAGTTTTATTTTAGTTTTGGTCAAAGCCTGAAAGAGCTGCAGAGGGACCAAAGAGCCACATGTGGCCCCAGAGCCGCAGGTTGCAGACCCCTGGTCTATCCAATGTCCGGCTTTACAGTGTGAACTTTTGGAATGCGCTGAAGACAAGTTGCTTAGAAGAACTATAGTAAGTCAGTTTGATAACAGAAACAATTATGGGGATAACATAACTAACTTTGAAGTAAATACCAGCATTTGTTTTAAATAAAAATATTTAATAAGTCACAATTAGCCTAAAAACTAACCTAAGTTTTATTCTAACTTTAATTTTGTGCTTTATTAATTCAAAGTGTGATAATTGTTCTACAAATAAAAAGAGGACACATACAGGCCTGCAGACTTAAATGGGTTTTTTTTTAATCAAAAATTGTATAAACTAGATGTTTTTTCCTTCTTCGCATAAGTATGATATTTCTGTTTGCCCTAACCTGCAAAAAATTCAGTAAATGTTAAAATAATTATATATTTATACTTTTTTAATGTCACCTCCACTGGCCAGAAACTTTCCTTCCATCAAACTCAAAGCGGCCCATGGGCCACCAGTGGATAATCCCAGTTGTAGCAGGTTTTGCAGCACGGTATACAATTTACTTAGAGAGAAAAAGGTCAGGAATAGCTCTTTTGATCAAAAATGTTGTTTAACGACCTTCATAAGGTTGCTATGGTTACATCGGTTTCCAGTGTTAGAAATCTTCTGCTTGAAACTGCGTAAAATATTTTTCTCAGTTTTACTTTGAATCAACGTGTCACAGAAAATCCTATGGAAACATCTGGAGGATGTCACGTTTGTACATTCAGTAAGGAGGTGGTAGTGGGTTGTTTGTGCTCCACCCCAGTTCATTCAGCTCCATCATCACTAAGGTGCTAATGGGTAAAACCAAACTAAAGTTAATGGGAACCAAAGAAAAGCAGCTCATTCACTCTGTCGTTCCTCTTGCTTTAACTACAGTAAAGTACTTTACACTGGTAAGATCCAACACTGCTGCCTTGATTATACTTTATATTTTTGCTATTTTTGGTGGTCTATTTTTGGAGTACACGGTTTCATTCCACCTCATGTACATGTGATGCAAATGACAATAAAGTCACCTTGAACCTTGATCATTTCCACTTTCATTTTGAATTCCTGCTCAACACATTTAATCAATTATTGGCCATTTTTTATGCTCATGCTTTAACCGTTCACTCAGATTAGTGGGTGTGGTGGTTGTTTTTATTTGCTCTTCCTTTGTCAGCAATCCGTGGAGCCATCTGCTTGTCAAGATGAGATTGGTAAAATCTTTACTCAAAACAATCTTCCTACATATTGTTTGTAACTTTTTCATGAATGCTGATTGGTTTATTTTAGTTTATTGCTGCTTTTATTATCCTACATTTGGCAGTAAAAAAAAGAAGAAATGATCAAGTTGCATAAGAGAGGAAAGAACAAGGTTAAATTTGATCTCTTTATTTATACCACATTTTAAATAATTATAATCTAAAAAGCACACGAGGAAAAAAAACCGTAATAAGTCCTATTTGTTTCTGTGCATCAATTGTAGACCAGAGTAATTAGCCTTGACCAGCAAAACTCTGTATTTATATAAAAAACAACTTAAAAAACTTTATTCCTATGTTTTGTGTTGTATATTAAAAGGGATAAAAATGGTTTCATTAGCAGGTGAACATTTGGGTTTCGCAGAATTAAAAAAAAACACGCTTTAGAAACAACGAGTGACACTGATGTTGTTAATTTTGGTCTAAGCAGATGGGAAAAGGAAGTTACTCAAACTTGACAAAACAAAAAAAAAATTAAAGAATTGCTTTGTGTTATTTTTTTATTTGTAAAAGAAATGACCAATAATTAAAAGGAAAATGAGCCTGAAATAAAAATGAGAACGACATGAATGGAAAAGAAGTTCGTATTTGTGGCTAAACGCTGAAGGGAGTGGAGTTTAAATAAAGAAAAACAGATGAAAACTTTAAGACGATGAGCTAAAAGAGAAGCAGTCCTGAGCTGTGGGGGCACAGAGAGAGAGAGATTCAGTGATGAGTCATGAACCTGCAGCGTTCAGAGGGAGGAGGGTCAAACTTTTGTTTGGTGCAAGTTGATGAAATCATATAAAAGTGACTGCATGGAAAAAAAAAACAAGCCCGTCTTCACAGTTGTTGGTCATTTTTGTGGTTGGAAACCAAAAAAACAGAGAGAGGAGTGATTATTTCTACTGTACACATGCAAAGTTTTCTTCCATAAACCCATCGACTTGACGAGCGAACGCGCTAATATTCAATCTGAATGTTAAAAAAAAAAAGGATTCTTCATAACGAAGCTTCATCCTGTAAACCTGCTCTGTAAACTGTTCGACATAAAAGCTGAAAGCTGTTTGAAGTTGTTTTTTTTGTTTTTTTATTGGTGAAGTTCAAGCTTCAAAGAATTCAAGTTGTCACAAATAACAGACCAGACCTTTCTGATTTCAAAGTTCTGGCGTAAGATTATCAATTTTTAACTCAACCAAGACGTTTGTTTGGTGAAATAATAGATTTAGTGGCAAATCTGTGATTTATTTATTTATTTTTTTAATCTACAGGACAAAGAAGCAGTTTAAACGTCATCCAGAAGTGTTTATTCTGTGCTTTCTTTTGAAAAGATTGTAGGTTTGACACCATGTTTACTGCTCACTGTGTATCTGTTTGCAGTCAACCCTGTTAGCAAAACATCTTATGAATCACTGGGTGGATTGTGGTTGTAGCTGAGAGTCATTCACAATACCAAAGTACTCCTCATTGCATGAGATCATTGCTTAAAACTTCAGCATAAGCTGTTGTAGTCAGCCTTGTTTGTCTGTTAGCAAAATATCTCATGAACCTCTGCTCATATTTTATTGACATTTTCAGCAATTTATCTTTGGATGCATATCTACAACTGTTTAACTCTTGGAGTCAATCCATTTCAAGATGGCAGCCTCAGCTAATCAACATTAGACAATGCAAAATTAGCTATAACTCTATCAGTTTATTAGATACTGAGCTAAAATTTGACGTGGTAGTAGCTAAGACTTTTTCGCTACACATACTCTGAGTGTGAATACAATATCACATGAAACTATGTCATTTTCAAGGCTATAACTCTGTTATTTCATCTTAACAGCCAGTTTTGCTTATGGAAGGATAAAACTTTCATTTAAAACACAATTTTATTATTTTAAATGATCTATTGTTAGACTGGTGTATATTGTTAGTCTGGTGTATTCATTACACAACTCTGCACTGCAGAATGACTGCCTTTGTCTCATAAAAAGTAAATTAGTGTTGCAGCTAATAGAACCTTAAAGCAATGTCTTATTAGTTCAGACCTTAAAACGCTTTCAATAAACAGTTTAACTTCTCCACAAAATTAACCAAGACCAAATCAAGACGTCCAATAAATGTTAAATTACTCAGATTGTAATGAAGAATAAGTACGATGCTAGACGTCGGTGTCGGTTCAGTGTTTGGTGTTTAAATAATAATAATAATCCTGTCTCTGTCTGTCAGGTATGTCTGGATTCTCAACAGTTTACTGAGTGGATCCATGAAGATCAACGCCTCTCCTTTGTTCCTGCACTGCATCATCCTTCACGGGTTGCCAAACTTTGACGACGCCACCAGAGGTTCAACTCCTAAAGCATCCTGCAACATATATCTGCCCGAGCAAATTATATTTAAAAAAAGAATTTAAACACAACCACATCAGTCGAAGCCTTAAAGAACTTTACCTCTTTCTTTCACCAACACACAATTGTTCGCTCAGGCAAATAGTTGGGTACAAAAAAAACAACAAAAAAAAGCAAAGAAGAGAAGAACCTCCCAGCAGAATTGGAAGGGAGGTCGATTAATGTGTCTGCAAGGAAATTGCTGTTTACACTCGTTTCATTGAGTCAACAAACGTTGCCGTCACATCACGTAGCGAAAATCTCTTTCTCACGACAGCGGCTTATCACACTTCAGCTCTCGGCAGAATATTCATGCTATTTAAACTTCTTTTTTTTCCTATTTCTTCTTAGTGTGTCGCCCATACATCAAGGTCTACCAAGGAATGCAGGCCGTGTACTCATCTGGAGTCTAGTAAGTAGTATGTGGCTTGCAGTAATTTGAACAGTATTGTGAACTTCAAAGGATGCTGTAATACCTAAAAGCCATATTCTGGTGAAATTAGCTTAATGTTAATTTGAACTCTCTGCGTGTAAAGTGTGCAAACGTCTGTAATTGCTTCCACGCTCGGGCTCCCTTTCACCGTGCGTTCTGTTGTTTGTGTTTTAGTCACATCGGCACAGGCCACAGAGACCGAGTTTGCATCAATCTGGAGCCGGCCCAGCTCCTGAAAGGGGACATCATGGTAGGAGATAAACAAGATCTGTTTTTCCCAGAGATAGCAACCATCAGCTCTGGCCTCAGTGACCACAGTGTTTTTCCCCTTTGCAGATTAAATGCTATCATAAAAGTCACGTAACTCCACAGAGGGAGGTTATTTTCCGGCTGCAGTTCCACACGGGAGCAGTGCAGGGTTACAACCTGATGTTTGAAAAGGAAGACATGGAGAATGCTAACAAAGGTACAACTAAACTAGAGAAATTGCATTTCCTGAGAAAATGCAGTGCAAATCCATATTGGGGAAAAAACTTGCTGAGAAACAGTTGAAATTAGCTAAAAAACATGCTGAAATGTAGCTTAAGTGGAAGAACAAGTCTATATTAGCAGAAGCAAAAGTAACATATTTACTGAATTAGGTATACTGTACATACGCAGAAATGAGCACAAAAATGATTAAAATAACTTAAAAAAAAAGCTAAAATTAGCAAAAAAAATGGCAGAAAGAAGCTGAAACTACCAGAAGGAAGCAGAAAGAGCTGAAATGAGCTATAAAAAAATATGGAATTAGCTGAAAAAGCTAAAAAAAATAGCATAAAACAGCTAAATAGTAGCTGAAATAGCTGAAACTAGCATAACTAAGATGAAAGGAGCAGAACAAGCTGAAATTAGTATAAAGAAATGAATCAGGCTGAAGGTAGCAGAATTAAAAATTTGAATTTACATGTAAACTGCTGAATTAGCTAAACATGCTAACAAGGTAGCTGAAAACATAAAACAAGCTTAAATTAGCAGAAGAAAGCAGAAAGAACATGTTTGCCCAATTAGGATGAAAGAAGCAGAAATGAGCACCAAAAAGTTGAAATGAGCTGAAATTAGCAACAACAGAAAAAAAAAAACATCTGAAAAGAAGCTAAAAATGCAGAAAGAAGCTTAAATTACCAGAAGGATGTGGAGAGAGTATTTTTGCTGAATTAGGCTGAAACAAGTTGAAATTAATGCAAAAAATGTGTCATTAACTGAAAAAGCTAAAAGTAGCATAAAACAGCTAAATAGTAGCTGAAATTATTGTAACTAGCAAAAATAAGCTGAAAGGAGCACAACAAGCTGAAATAAGCTGAAAGAAGTTAGAAGAAGCACAAAGATTTTGTAGTTAGCAGAAAGAATCCGAAAGGAGCACAGAACAGCAGAAAAAAAGCTGAAATTAGCTGAAAGTAGCTGAAAAAAAGTTTAAATTTGTTCAAGGAAGCTGAAAGAAGCTGAAGCAGAACAGAAAGTGAAAGGAGCAGTAAAGGTTGTAAACAGATCTAAAGTTCTGAAGGATGTAAAATGAGCTCAATTAATTTTCTATGAGAAACAAAGTGGCAAAAAAGGCAAAATATTTCAAAAAGCAAAAGTTGCACCAATACCAAAAGTCTTAGCAGGATTGTCCTGAAAGAGCTGAACTTTTTGATATAATTTGTTGAAATAGCACAAAAAAATTGTGGACTGAGAAAGATGCTGAAATATGTACGGAAGAAAAATGGATCACAATAGTGTGAGTGATTCATAAACATCCATACAATAAGAAAAAGGTCAGAACAGGCCTCAATTTGCAGCAGCTCTTCAGCTCCACATAACATCTGCAGGGCTTCGTCTGGACTTCATTTAGGCTTGGCACTTTAGCCCAGCAATCTTGTTTTCCCAAACATGTTACATGTACCAAGAGGCGTTCCACAATGAATCACGGTTTACATTTATAGCATTCCTGTATGCGTTGTCACTCCAGATCCCAGATTTCCAGACTATGGAAAAGTTGAGCTCGTCTTCTCCGAGGGACCAGAGAGGATTCCAGGTAGATTTTTATTTGTTTATTTTTTTAACTTTCTCAGCTTCAAAATGAAAAACATTGTTCTGGAAGGAGTATTTTGAAAAGCAGACACCATTCTCTCGTTTTTGTGCTTTGCCCTCTGCCCCATGGTGAGAGGCGATGTGGAATGCTGCAGAGGGGAAATGTAGTGTGAAGTGTGTGCTGACAGAAGGGTAAAGACGCACAGCGTGCGCCGCCCCAAAACACCACAGCAGTGAAACTATGTGGGCTTGTAGGACTTTATTAGGTGTTATATATGCATCTGTGCACACTGGTCTTTACATTCTGGGAATATCATTAAAATAGAAGAAAACCATAGCATCCTTTAAAAAATAGCTTTATGCATTGCAAAATGTTTAATAAGATCTTAAGTGACCTGTTCGCACTCTAAGGCTACGTTCATACTGCAGTCAAATGTGGCCCAAATCAGATTTTTTTGCTTCTGTGTGACCCATATCTGATTTTATCATGACAGTCTAAATGTGACAAATCCAATTTTTTTCCCCCCAAATCATATGTGGTACTGTACTGAATATATATCCAACATTTTTCAAATCATCGGCAGTCTGAACTGTCATGTCGCCTTTCATCCGACTTTTACATCAGTGAGGTAGAAGTAAGCAGATCAATCCAAGTATTAATAATATTCATACCACAACCTCGTGCAGTTGAAATCTTGGAATCTGCATGTCTTCAGCTACAGAACAAAAGTCCAGTTGCTTCATCTTTGTTCTTTTAATTTCCCATTTCCTGGATGACTGAGAATCTTCACGGACATATGATACCATCGTTGGTGTTGGACCGTATTGATAATAACATGATGGGGTTGATATTTGAGTTGTTTCTACCTTCAGCACATCCCTCCTCCCCCCCCGCCCCCCCCCCCCGAAAAAAATAAACAAAACAAAAAAACAATGCTGCACCGGAGGATCCGTCAAGAAAACTGTAAACAGTTCACGCCGGAGTCTGATGGAGGTCACATTTTAATGATAATGTGAACAGCCACGCACAAAAAAAAAATCACATTTCAGCAAAAAAATCTGAAATGAGCTTTAAGACATTAACAAGAATGCTACTACCACGGGGAGTGGTGGCGCAGAGGTTAGAGAAGGTGGGCCTGTGGTTAGAAGTTTCAACTCCCTGGATCAACAACATCAAAATGTGGGTGTGAAAGGTGAAACACCCACACCTGCTGCCACCCTTGTTTGCCCCACTCTGGGCACTTGAGCAAACCCCTTAACCCCCACCATCTGCTCTCTTGGGTGCTGTAGATGGTAGCCCCCTGCTCCACACAGAGGGCTGTGGTAGCTTGGTGGTCTGTGGTTGCATCAGGAACGGCATCCGGCATAAAGTAACAAAACAATAACCAAGTCTTTATGTGAGTTAGTTCTCTGTAGCAACCCCTGAGGAAGGGAGCAGCCGAAAGAAGAATAAAATCTCAGCTACTTCCACATCAAATTTTAGCTCAGTATATGTGAAACTGATTCAGCTGTAGCCATTTGTGTGTTTGCTACGGTTGATTAGCTCTAACGACCATGTTGAACTGAGAGGACTTGGAAAGTTGATCAGTTTTAGTTCTATCTCTATTATCCAGTTGTATTTTTTTTTTATTAAAGTTTGTCCAGTGGTTCATAAAATATTTTGCTAACAGACAAACAAACGAATACATGCACATACAGTTACGGGCGGTTACATTGTTGCCCATCTTTCATTGTGGTGGATAATTAATGAGCAAACCTTCAGTATGACTTGACTGTATTTTTAATATATTGTTGGATTGTATACCTGGATTATTGGGCATGGACTTTGTTGACCCTTTTAACCCATCTTATAATTCAACCATACTTACCTCTCTTGGCAAGAAACATACATTTTTGTGAATATCAGATCTGCCACACCTGAAAACTGAAGTAAGACTATCAAACAAATAAACAATAAAAATCATACGGATGTACAGTATTTACAGTAATGATCGTTTTTAATCCAGGTGCTGACAGATGGCAAAACGGCCCAGATGTTGTTGTGGATTACAACACAGCCGATCCGCTAACCCGCTGGGACTCGTACCAGAACATCTGCGATGGTGAAGGTACAGTTGCTGCGCTGCATTAGTCGCAACATGACTCACAAAGCCTTTGTTCTAACAACGCCAAGGTCTACACGATGCCTCAGACACTGAACACAGACACCACTAGAAGTTTTATCAGTGACAACAGTCGACACAGGTGTTACTGAGACATTTAAAGAGATAGTCTTATAGTTTCTGAACTATTGTTTAGTACCTTACAATCCATAACATAAGTCATTGAGCCTGGTATATGAAGAAAAAGGCAAAAGTCTTCATCCATGCTATGAAAATGGGTAGCCAAATGGAGGCAAGTTTTTTTTTTTTTTGTTCTTCAAGCTTAAATAACCACTTATTCTCAAAAATGAGACACAGATAGTAAAGATGGCTGCAATAGCTAATATTTTATACATTTACACTGTTAAATGACACAGATTGTTTACTTTGTTACTGTTTTCTCAACTGGAAAATGCCCATGTTACTTGGCAGCTGTACATGGGCAGAGCATAAACCTTTTATATGCCAATGGTTCCAGTGATGGCTGGACATGGGCACCAGTGACCCTCGCGATCCGAAGAGGAACAAGCGGGTAAAGATAATGGATGGATGGATGGATGGTTTTGAAGCTGCCAGTGCATTCCTCTGCTTGATGAATGCATCTAGTCCATTGACATGTGTTATAATTAGAGACAGGACTGGAAGCAGGAAGTTGAAGTCACAAAGGATACACGCCATCTAGAACGGGGTTCTCAAACTTTTTGGGTTCAGGGACCCTTACAGGGAAGGAAATTTTTCAGAGACCCCCCTCATAACACTCATGTTATTCATTAATTTTCTTCAGTTTGTCTCTTTAATGCAATGGAAATATTTGTGTAACATTAATACTTAAGACCTGTTCTTAAATAGTGTTAATATAATCTATACTTTTAAACATGGGCTATTTTTCATTCAACACACACTTAATTAACAACATTTTCAATTTCAACTTCCAAAAATTACAGTTTTGAGAAATTTAACAGCATCATAAACCACTTTAAAACTTTACCTATTCACATAATGAACATAAATGTGTTGTCATTTTAAATTATTACAGAAAACTCTTTACGAAAAACTGAACAGAATCATAACAGCAGTAGTCACACAAAGTAACAGGACTTCATTTCTAAACAGATTGATGCCGGAACGCAAATAGCGGGTGGGGGGAGGTGTAGTGGTCCTCCTGGGGGGGTCCGGGGACCCTAGTTTGAGAACCACTGATCTAGAAAGTCAGCTGCAGTGCATTTTTTAAGTGTCTTCAATTGTTTAGCTAGCCATAGCTTAGCCAGGATGAAGGCTCCTGCTTTATTTATTTAAATTTGTTTGTTTATTTGTTTCTTTGTTTACATTCCTACTTCTTTCTTCACAAAATTCTCTGTAACTGATGTCACAGCTGATAAAGTACTAGCTGTTGATAATAACTTACAGAGCATCACTTCAACAATGACTAGACTAGCCCTTTAATGTAGTTTTCTCCCCTTTCTCCTCTATATTGTTATACATAACCAAAAACAAAAACTATTTTTTCTTATACAAGGTATTAACACAGTGGGACAGGTCCCTGTGGCAACATTTTTGTTAGGGACTTCAATGAGATTGCATTCTTGCCAGGATACTAGCTTGGTTCATGTTGCAGTTGATGTTAAAGGGACTTTGCTTGTGTGGAACTTAAAACCCGACTGGCTGGCAGGCGACCTTTTATTATGGTGAGAAAATTAACTGGAGGCTACAATTTACCTCACTGTGCAGCATGATAAGGATGACAAAGAAAGTTGTTTCTAAGTACAGAGGAGTGTTGTTTTATGTGAGGAATGTTGGGTTCAGAGGAAGAGCAGATAGTTCTCAAGAGATTTCCGTTTTGTTGACTCTCGAAATAAATAGGGATGCTTTAGCCATCCCACACAAACACACACTCTCACTAGTGCCCACACACACATATACTTACACTCCAAGCCACCTTGTTAGGGCGTCCCATCCTCGCTGTGGTTGTTGCTTTCCACTGAGCCACAGAATTCACAATAACCTCCAAGAATAGAGGCAGCGCTAAAACACAAATCCACCCTTTTCCCGTTTTCATTGAGTGTTTTTATAGGCCAAGCTTCATGAAAACAGCCAGACCTCTTTTTTTAATTTTTTACTTAAAATACCTCATCACACCCACCCTGAATTGTTTACCCACTACACAACAAAAGCACAACCTCACAAATGTAAGAATTCACCAAATTAAAGACATCAACTAAAAATAACATTTTTTTTTTTTTTTTGTATTGCGGTAGTTCCTAAGCATTCATGTGGGATATTTACTTCTTTGTTTTCTCATGTAAACACCACATATGAGAGGGAAGACTATGGAAGCGTTTGTTGAAATTCTACATCTACTTACCAGCCGTTTTCATGCAGACCCAGTTTACTTCAAGCACACTCTCACGACTTGTTATAACGGAGGAGGAAGTCTGGATTTTTTTTTACACTTTAGTGCTAAAGTTGTGAAGAGGAGTCTTTATTTACTTAAGTGGCTGTTCATCAATTGTCCGATATCTTAAAGTGGTAATTAAAGGTAGATTTTTTTAAAAGACCATGAAAGTTTTAGTTTATTTGTAAACCAGGTTGTCGCCTCTGCATAACTTTTAATGTTTCTGGGTATTTATTTCTGTCTTTATCGATTTCTTTTATAGGTCAGTGTTCCTCAAATTACAAGAGAAAACCTATTTATTTCATAAGTCTAGTCATTTATGGTCACGCACATCTTGTAGTAGGTGTTGGCTGCTACCCAAATAAAAGGGAGGAGTTGAAAAAGAGTTAAAAGATTAAAGAGAACCTATTATAGTTAGAAGTTTGATCCTCTTTTGTCACTTGATATAAAATCCCCTGATGGCAAGAGATACATACAAAAGGCTTCAGGCCAGTTGTCCAAACAGGGACATGACTAGATCACAAGTTTAGTTCATTTCACGCACAAAGGTGGTGATAATGCACAGGCTTTTCAGCAGATTGATCAAAAGACAAAGTAGAAAAGAACTGCAGGTACAAGTGATTTATGACTAGAAAACAACATGGTTTCTCAGTCCTTATGGCCCCTGAGAGATATAGTTTCTAATCATGGATAACACACATCACACGGTGTTTCATATTTCATCGTATTTTTCTTCCTTTGCTCGTACGTTCACTCACAGCCTTCTTTTGTTTGTTGTGTGTTTGACGCCACCTTTTGAATGGGAGTTTTATTGTTGGTGTCAGGATGCAACGTTAGCACATTCACATAAATGCAGGCTGCTAGCAGAAGGTCTGCAAAACAACCCGGCTTACCCTTTAATATTAATAGGCATGATGATATTCAAGTATGAATTACTTTAAGAATTAAGATATTTAAGTATTAATTTTGTTTAAGGGTGAACAATCTTTATAAAAACTGACAAAATAATGCGTTCAAACTGACCCTGTGACATACATTATTCCTTTTGCACTAAATATGACTTTACTTTTGTCAGACTTCTAGCAACAAAATGTATTTTAAAGGACACCATGTGTGCATGGTGTTCTTGTGTATTCCTGTTCTTTCGTTCTAAATGTCTTTTATACTTTGAGTCCAACTACAAAACTGACTTGGTAATCAGGAACGGTTGAAAAGAGAAAACATTTCTCTAATGAAATCTTCCAAGACTTGTAGAAAATTAAGCTGTACAAGACAGAAACAATAATCCTTGTTTTTGTTTTGGCATCTAAAAGGTGTGGACTGGTACTAAACGAGACGAAACGGAAAAGGGTTGGGTAATTACATAGCTGTACACAACCAGACCTCCTGATTCAAGAGCAACTTGGGGAACAGTTGTGGTTTTTCTGCTCTTCTGCACTATAATTGGTGGATTTTTATTTAGGAACTGAGTGTACCATAACAACCAATGTGATGAATGCTGGATTGAAATGGTTTGACTGATTCCTCTCAAGTTCATAAGCTAAGAGCATGTTTGGTAAACCATCGCTGGCTTTTCAGTGTAATTCGGATAGTTAAAACTTTTTAAAGTTCCCCTTAAAAGGATTTAAGGAACATCTGTTTCTGTCTAGTTTGTTGCATAAAGACAGCAAGCGTGTTATTTTTTGACACACACAGGAGTGGGAGAAAAACAACTTGGCAGCCATTTTTCATGAAAATTGCTTTGGGCTGATGTTAATCTTTGCTTTAATTACAAAGTGTCTTTTTACAGAGTGGATATGTCTTGAGCTCCAAGAATGTTGTTTTCATCCTCTCTGGTTCTCTCTCTTTCATTTTACCCCCCCATCCCACCAAACCTCTTCTCTCTCACCAGTGGGGTAGTCCCTTCACACAGGGGTAAGAGGTCGGGTTACTGGTTCCCTCCAGCCCGCCTCTGCTTCATCGCCCCGCCTCACTTGTTTACATTCCTCTGTCCTTATTTGGAGATCTCAACCCCCCCGCCCGCTCGCCCCCCTGCCTTGTGTAGAGTGCAAACACTCTCACCTTCTCAGCAGAGAAAGAAAACGGGCCAACTCATTCAAAGTCTCTTGACTTGGCCCCCTCACCACTATCCACTGGTTCAAAATCCATGTCCACTCTCACGTGTCTGCATTGTCTTTCCTCCTCTGCGAGTTTGCTTTACCTGGAGACCAAGGTCGGTTCGTATGCGCACCTGGCAAGGACAGCGAAGGTAAGAGAGATCCACTTCTTGAGGCAAACGGGTGGTCATGGAGGGCTGTGCGTGGGGTGATGGGGGGAGTGTTGATGTCAGGGGTGACAGAGAAAAATGGCAAGAATCCAGGTGAAGAGGTTAAAACCCAGTTTGCACTTTGCTAAATGGAATGTGACGAGAAGGATTTGTGATGGAAGTGACCTGCGCTGCGCTCTGAACCAGAGCTGCTCAAGACACGACGCAGGCTTGTGTGAGTGGAGTGTAGGCTGGAGAGCAAACCATACATAATGGGAGCTTTTACAGAAAGAGGAGGAGGGAGGGGGGAGCTTTTACCATGCGTGTCTGGTATTTGGATCCTCCAGTCATGGTTTTAAGACAGTTTGTTGAGGCTGAGGCAAAGGAGTCAAGTTCCAGCTCCCTTTGTGTTAAAGCAGAAAGAGAATGACAGAAAAATACAGCTCCGTTATTTACAAGTCATTATTCACTTTCTGTCGTTTTACAGAAGTCTGCTTCCTGAATCAGATTTCTTCAACTGCTGCCATGCTCATTGACTGACCTTAGATTTTTCCTGTTACTTCTGAGGATTAAGAAGGTTGTTTGGACATATGCTTGGGGTCAAGGGGCAAGTGAGAGTGGGTTGCGTCTCAGCAGGGTGAGGAATTCAGGGGTCAGACGAGACCCACTGTTGACTCATTCTTGCAGAAACCTGCAGATTTTATAAATTTTTTAAAATATATTACCTGTTTATGATGAACACACTAAATGTTGCTCATTTTACACACCTGCCAGAAACTTAATGGGAACATTGGGACAATGGGACATTTGCAGAAAAAGACTCCATGAGTTCTAGAATTTGACATTAAATTTAGTGACACGATGAACATGTTGTCATCTTAATGTTCTGGTTATTTGTTATCTGTTTTGTCTGGAATGTTGTTCTCATGAGATGTGGTGTGATTAGATGTTGTCCCTGTCAATCACAGTTTCTGCAGACAGACAAGACTGTGCGTGTTTACAGAGTCCTGTCTTTGTTTTTGTGAGTCTCCTGTTTGTGCGTCTCTGCGTGTTGCCCATACCGGCTGACTGTATGAAGCGCTGCATCTCTTCTATTTTGCAGCACAACGGTCTCAAAGCCTAAGCCAGGACAAAGCAGCTAGTAAGAGGAGCCCCATCGGAGGAGGAGGGGCCACGCTGGGACGAGGGACCCGCACAACCTCCGCCACCTCGAGCCCTGACCACAGTGACCACACACTCTCTGTAAGCAGTGACTCGGGCCTGTCCAGCACATCACTGTGGGCAGATAGACCCACACCTGTCACCTCCGCCACCACCACCACAACCACCACCACAACCAGGGCTAACCAGGGACCCAGCCCACAGGAGAAGGTCCAACTGAAATGCCTCCTTAATGGTTTTGGTCTTGACGATCCTTCGCTGGAGGAGATGGATGATCAAGACACTAAAGTGGGCTTGCAGCAGACAGTCCCATCACAAGTGCACTATAACGGAGACGCTCGGCCCCGAGAGAGGGAAACGGACATCCTTGATGATGATGTCATTACGGGTCATGATCTGCACAGTGTGGACAGCCTAGGGACCCTGTCGTCCTCCTGCCACAAGAGCAGTCAGAACTCCCTGCTGTCAGATGGTTTTGGGTGTCCTGGAGGTGAGGAGCATCCAAACCAGCACCACCTGCATCATGCTCCTCCCGTGGAGGAGTATGAGCGATCCTACACGGAGGCCAAAAGAGCCTTTCTAAACTCCAGAAGCAACTCTGTGGCATCTTCGAATCCCAGCGGCCCTCCCCCACCCAAGCAGCAGTTGTACAGACAAGGAAGCTACTCTACACAGTCCTGGGTCCGTCAGCAGCAGATGGTCGCAGCGCAGCAGTTTATCTACATGGCCGAGAATGGGAACGAAACGGAGCGATACCCTCGAAACAAGCCTGTGAGAAGTTCACCCAAAGAATTGCCCGCTGAACCACAAGACCGCATCAGGGACACCCCGGCCGACGCCATTAAAAACTCTGCCTCTTACAAAGAACAAGCGGTGACGAACAATAACAACAACAAACAACAGGATGAGGAGTTCAAGTCGCTGACGATGGACATCGACAACTCCATCGATCAGCTCAATCAGTTGATCATGGACCTGGATCCCACCTTCGTACCAGTGTCGAGCCACGGCAGCTCTGTCAAGAGAAATGGCGCAACACAGGTCAACAGTTCAGACAGCAAATGTTCAAACGGCATCAATCTCCGATTCAACGACAGTAAATCAGCAGCCCTGAAAAACACACAGCAGACAGGTAAGATAGTCGGACAGACCGAGTGATGTGTGATCACAAACAGAAATGTGTTGTTATGAACCAGAAAAGTTGTCAGCCTTGAGAAGACTAATAAATATAAGAAGTTATTTATTACACTCTACAAATATTTAAAAGCTGAATAAGTCTTCACAACCATAACTTTTGTTTTTATTTCGCCTGAACAAAGCTTATCTTCTTTCCCTCTCCTTCAGCATGTTTGAGTGACAGAAATAGCAGGGCTCTTGCCAGGTTTTCAGATGTTTTCAGTGTGTTTCTGCAGATGGAGCGCTGTCCAGACTTGTAGGTGTAACTATCTGAGTGCAGGATCAGTAAGGTGCATGAGCAGCATTTTATCAGTCTTTGTGAACTCTGGTGTTTCTTCCATTTATATTAAGACTCCACTTTAGAAATGCAGATAAAAAAACACTGTCGTGTTTGAAGGTGTGCTCTATCAAGGACCTAAACCATCTAATGAATATGAACAATAGGTACCCACTGCAAGTATTTCTGCATTTAGACATGAACAATTTAATAGAAATAAGAAAATTCCCATTAGAATCAGAATCAGAATCAGTTTATTATCGCCATGTCAATGAACGAGGTTCACAAACTAGGAATTTGCTTCGACATAAGGTGCGAATAGTAGTAAAGTAAAATAAAGTAAAAATTAAGTAAAAATTAAGTAAAAATGAGAACATTACATAAGACATAAGCCTGTGTACACCCACAAATAAAGTAAAATTAAAAACATAACATAACCATATGTACACCCATACAATAGAAAACAATAAAAAAGCTTAGAAAACAGTACATTAGTGACACGATCCTGTAGCTCTTTTGCTTCAAAGATGACAACCGGTACAGGTGATCATGTTGAACTAGATGCAGCTGAACTAAAACCCAGTGATGAATAGAAAACATAGCTGCATGAATCAGAGCATGTGGTTCCAGAGGTGGTGAGGAGAGGAGGGGGATGGTGAGGCCTTAGGAATTTCCACACTGGGAACAAGTGAGCCCGCAGGCGGTGGTTTTTTTCATGTGATTCCAAATGCGTACCTGTTTGCACATATCGATGCAGGAGCTTCTTAAAAAGCTTTAAGAGGAAAATGACTGGTGTTTTTAGCTTTAAAAAAAAAGTTGTGACGAGTTTGGGCTTTGATTCCGTTTGTTCATTTACACAAAAACCAGGAATGTTAATAAATTATTTAAACTATTACCTAGTAAACTATTACCTAGCCTTTGCATTTTTTATTTAGTAAAGATGGTGTTTATTTTACAGGATAAATAATCTGTAGTCGGGGTAGGTTTTTCTTTTCAAATATTTGATATTTTGTGGATTGGTACAACTCTTGTTGTAGCACACTTTTGCTGCTGTCTTGGGCTGCACAGATCTAATGCTATTTAGGGATATTTTTAGTTAAAATGCACTTACTGTTATATTCATTCAACCTTTATTTATACAGATTAATCACATTGAGCTTTTGAGTCACAAGTATAAATATACAA